CCCCCCCCTCTCTTCCCTCTTTCTCCGGAGCCGGCCCTGGCCGCTTGGTTGACTTGGCACATAATGCTTCGCCCCGGGCGGGGCCTTTCAAGGCCCAACAACAACCCCTTCCCCCTCCCTCAGTCAGAAAAGCAAGGCGCCAAACCGTGCCGCACGCAGTATGAATGATACCAGCACAACGTGCGCGGCGTCGAGAAACTGGGGGGCGAGAGAGCCGAGACTGGATAGAACAAAAATAAAATAAAAGTCTGCGTGGAATCTGAAGAAAAGAGTACGATGTCACCTACACAGAAACACATACCCTTGCTTAGAAACTTTTAAAGGGAACAGTTAAGTGTTATCACGTTACATTTTTTGGGAAGTTTAAGTGCGCTTTAGTTCAGCAGTTTTCAAAGGAACACAATCCCACACTAGCGTACTTCCACTGCAGTGGTGACCGCTGGCGACTATGTTAGTCACAATCTTTTCATTCTGATGACACTTGAAAAAAACATGGGATGTAAAACGTTTTTAGAAATACTAAGGGAACGTCACAACGATAGCAAAAAATTTTTTAAAAAATAGAGGAGAGTTAATTGTAGTTACTAGGTATTGTTATAGACCAAAAGGCTGATCCTTGGTCCCATAAGCGATGTTCATTTCTGATCGGTGATCGGTGTATTCTATGATTTGTTTTATAGCCCATTTACTTAGCGCTCACTTTCGATGGGTACAGTAGTTCTACAGTGCTGCGCCTATTTGCAGGCTTACCAACGCTTGGACTGCAACACAACACTTTTTAGAAGCACGTACTTTTGGACGTGTCCCAAGTTATCTTTTCAACAAGTATTCTAGCTTGAAAGGAATATTTTTGTCAGTTTATTGTATTCTGGTCAAAACATTAAATTTTGCACTCACGTCTAACTCGTAACTTACATGGATCGGGAAGGTTATCTCCTTCGCGGCTTTCTTACTCAGATTCTTTATCCTTTATTGCTTTAAAGGATCGTTTGAATTCATCCTCTCCTCTATGAAGGCATTCAATTATCGTTAAACACGTCAGACGAACAAAATTTCAACGAGACTTTTAGCTTTCAGCAGAGACGTGTGTTTGTGTGCGCGGCGCCCACCCCGGTCCTCTTTCAGGCATAATGTAGTGTATAGTGTACGGAATGGAAGCTTTCAAGCGTATCACCGCGCTATTGTTCGTGGGGCTGGGGGAGGGGCACTCTGACTGCCCCTCGGTCCCCTAGAGACCCCCTTCTCCCAGTCCGATCCACGACGTACACTTTCTGCGGACGGGCAGGCACTCGTGTCCTACTCGTTTCACCCTGATTTTAAGACCAAATCGCAATGAAACGACTATGTATTCGCTTATAGGATGCAGCGACCTAAAAGTTTCTCTTCGAAGAACGTTTAGTGCAAACACGGGTCTATTATGTCTAGAATGAATAATTTTGGTATTATTGCTAATCCTACTCGTCGATGAGTTTGTGCTCACCTGGTGCATAGGGTCGAAGCCCATGCCGGAGTCAGCGTACGAGGGCTGAAACACACCACCCATAAGCCATTAGACGCATCATCAGACCCTTATGTTGACACGAATATGACCTTTCGTTTCCCCCTGCTGAGCTCGTAAACAGTAGTCCTAGGGTTTAATTATTTTTAAACAGTTGCTTCTCGCCTAAAAGTGGCAGGTTACTAAAAACAGACAGCTCCAGAGGGAAGTTGAAAAGTCACGTGGCGTGTCAGAGTTGCGAATCTTCCAATATCTTATTGTAAACACAAAATGGTAGTTTGGCTCTCCAGACGCTCGCTCTCTCACTCTTGGCCACTTTCTTTCTGCATGCCGTAAGTTAAAGCAGCGTTATAAAGCGAGTTAAGGATTGCTAAACGAAGCCGAGCAAGTCCCACCGTCATATTCAATCAAACGAAACGTTTTTTTTTTAAATCTTTGAAATTTTTCGTTAGTAAATGAAAGCAATAGTGAGTGCTTATAGCCAATTATGACGTCCTGTCTATTTGAAATCGTGGTTCGTATGCATGATATAGAAAACGTTCCCTTCTGTCAAGTCTGTGCTCAACTAACATCAACACACAGCCGTTCAGGTGGCATGCGTGAAGTCCTATCACAACTAATGTCTGATTCCAAGCGATAGTCTCTACTCCTCTGTGCTCTAAATGGGCTCAATGTTAATGTGCAGTTAGTGTAGTTGCCATGCGGGAAGGGGAGCCTATGGCTCAACTAGTGCTACAAATTCCGCCAAATGTCAAACAACTTTATTTTTGTCTCTCACAGAAATACAAAAAAAGGCGTACATTGCCACACAGAGGGAACCCTGAGTCAGTACAGGGCCACCACAACAATCATACAAATCCTAAGCTTACATAACAATTCTTGTAGTCATTTATTTAGAATTATCCGTATACTTGGTCTAAACCTAGACTTAAATCTATGAAGTTTAATTTTACAATACTCAAGATTTTACTCTTAAAATGTAAACGTAAGCGTTAACCTAAAAAAAATATCATACCTAAAACCAAAATACACAAAAAGGGGGGGAAATTAAATGTTAACCTACAAAACAACATAAAATTGTGATGCCTAAACAAAACAAAAAAAACAAAGGATGATATGAGGTGGTCCGAGCTCCCCCTGCAGTATCCAACCAAAGCTTTAAAGGGACAAAAGAGGGCGGCCCCACCGGCATCGCCACCGCTGTCAGCCATCAGCACGGTCTCCGCCGCAGATCCACTGGCAGTCAATAACAAAATGAGCAAATTCCCACATAATTTCAGCGTCCTCTTCAATCTAATTTTTCTAAAACTCAGCACTGGTAAAACAAATGTGCAATATTTGTACACCAACGAGTGCACATCATGAATTTACACATAACATGATCCAGGTAGAACAAAATGGTGTGCAGCTTCTATGCGAATCGGAAATGTCTTTGCACACCTATCGACTTTTAGTTAGACACGACATGTGTTTCAACTTTCCATACTAGAACTTGTAAATCAATTGCGACGTGCAAAATTAAACACTTGTTTTCCCAGTGAATTTATCCTGTGGCAAAACTCTGGCGATGACTGTGCAGAAGTGACCATAATGGCCTCACTTCAGGACTCACCACTGGCAAGTCGCATGTTATTTTATAAAACAAAACAAAAAACAGCAAAATAAAACAGCATTTCGAGCGAAATGCTTTCATTGTTTTTAAAACAACAAAATTTGATAAAAATTTGCGACGCGGTTAGCGGTCAAGCTTGAAGTGATTATGCCGGGGGACCAACAGCCCGTACGTACTTAAGGACAATTTTATTTACCGTACTTTCATGTTTTCGTTTCTAATAAAAATAAAGTTAAATAGATCAAATATTTGTACTTTACATGATAGTGTGTGCTACCGCAAAAAGCGCTTTGATGCAAAACACTACACACTTTAACCCATTCATGCCCACTGTCAATTAAAGTGCACAGTGCGCCCCATTCTCTTTAGACTTTTCAATTCAGGCAATGTAAAAACAAGAATTGGTATACTCATATTACCCTTATGCGTTAATACAATCAAGTTTTCGTACTAGTAAATTCATAAAAAACATCAATTAAATTAGGATGTACAACATCCGCTAAAGATTCTGGTTTCTCAATCGATTTCAAATGCAGTAAAAACATTTTTTCTTGGTATACTCGTATTACCCTTATCAAGTTACAATAAATGCACAGTAGTTTCTTTTCGTATAAGTTAAAAGGTCTGTACAAAAAAAGTCATCACCTAAATAAAATGCCTGTGGGTACAAATGAGTTAAAAATCTGATTGTGCAGGATGGCCGGCCGTGCCACGCGCAGACCCACGGGCAGAGAAACAACCCCATCGCAAACGACACCCGGTAAATAAAAGGAACAATTTTAAAAGAGAGTTAAAAACTTCCGCAAAAGACGTACAAAAATACATAAGCTACATACACACACAGACGGCTTACCCTGTGCGAAACAAACGATCCTCTCCCCAAAACACAACAACGGGCCGCCGGTAGACACACCGGCGAGAAAATTCAAAACGGAAAAAACGCATCGTATACGATTGGGAAACCCACGCAAGTAAGGCGAAGGTCTAGGCACGTTTGCGATGGAGTGGAAGAATATAACGACCATAAAACAATAATTTGATCCCAGGTTTATCAAAAACCAGGCGTCTCGAACCCGACCGAGTTGCGTCCCGCTTTGGAGAGATTGTCACTGAAAGAGTAGCAGAAACAAAATAATCATTTTTGCGAATACTTTCAGTGCGTCCCCCGTTTAACCCACGAGAGTCACGTCCGTAACTCGGCCAGGCTGGCGCTATAGCACTCACAACATTTTAAAAAACTCTCTAGTATACAGAGAAAAAATACAACAGCACCGTGAGCGAGGGCTGGCCGGCCGGCGTCACACTTCAATACTCTATGTACAAGGCGTATACTTCAGGCGTATCACATAGCGTGAGAGAGCTTCACGCCGGGGCCCGGGGGAGGGCGAGAGGGGAAGGGGGAGGAGGGAGAGGGCGGGAGGGGAAGTGTTAGGGGCTAGGCGTTGGGGCAGGCCAGTATCCGGGGCCACCCACCTGCGACCCGGACATGGGGGACGAGTAGTCTCCGTTCATGCCCATGGAGTACCCCATCGAGTCCTGGCCGGGCGCGGGAGACATCATGGGGGTGGGGGTGCCCTGCGAGGGCGGGCCCAGGCTGTACGGCGACGCGCCTGAAACACAAGAGAGAAAACACGTGTAAGTTCACTGGCAAAAACATGTGAGCGATGCGGTACAGCGCGGTGTGTTGTGGTTATTGCTCCTATTACACCAAAATGATTTACAGGATTTTAAATAGAGCGCTCCATGAAGTGGCTCGGCCAGCGCGCGCACAAGCACACACACACACACACACACACACACACAACATAACGTATTTTAAAAGTCCCACTCTTGAAATGACACGAAACCACGGCAGGAAACAGCTGCGGCGGTAACGCTAGATGAATGGGACACAAATAATGCGGACAAAATAAAAAGGGAAAAATAGGTATAACAAGCGCGTGACACATGTATGTCGCGTCTCGGACAAGGGCAGCGTTCTCTCTCTCTCTCTCTCTCTCTCTCTCTCTCTCTCTCTCTCTCTCTCTCTCGCACGCAGCCGATTAAAATTTTCATGTCGTGCACGC